TATATATACAAATGGACTTAATGTGACATTAGATCAATAATTTATTAGGCAATACTCCTTTTTCTTTGCTTATTTCTTATAGCTTTAGAGAAATCCAGGATTTACAATGCACTATTTTAGGAATAAAGTAAGTGGTATCTGAACCAACCAACCAACCAACCAACCAACCAACCTTCCTTCCTTCCTTCCTTCCTTCCTTCCTTCCTTCCTTCCTTCCTTCCTTCCATGAAATTTCTCCCCGCCCATCTCCCCCCAATGGAGGACTCTGGGCAGCTCACACAAAACATTAAAACCATAAATATAAATAAATACATAAAACATAAAAATTTAAACAGAACATTACTAAAAAAGGAGAAAGTCCAAGATGATGGATCTGGGGCTGAAGACAGCAGGCCTCTATGGGGCTAGCCATCCCCACACTTTATGTATTCTCTCCCCATCCCAGGCCAAGTGGCAGAACCAGGTCTTCAAAGCCCTCTGGAAGGCCAGGAGTGAGGGGGATAAATAAAAAGGGGGATAGTGTGAACAAGAGCAAAAATGAATAATTTATAAATTTACATACACATTTATAACACCAAGGCAAAGCCTAGCAAATATTAGGCAAAATCATTCTTCAGAAAGTTTACTTTCTTCAATGCTTCACAACAAAAATAATTTCTGTACCAAATCCCATTAACACAAGTTTGTTCTGAGTGTGTAATGAGTACTTTGGGTGTTAGTATGGTATATGTGGTGTGGAGATCATGAAAGATTTATGAGTGGAGTGAGAATGTATGATGAGAGCAATTATGCTGAGGATATTAGAGCAGTGTTTCTCAATCTCAGCAGCTCTAAGATATGGGGACTTCAACTCCCACAATTTCCCAGTCAGCATGTATGGCTGGGGAATTCTGGGAGTTGACGTCCCCACATCTTGGAGTAGCTGCAGTTAAGAAATACTGGATTAGAGGGAAGGATGACATTTGGAAGGTTAACTCTAACTTGATTGATTGATTGATTCAGGGTATCAACTGTTCTAAAAACGAACTACTAAAAGAAACATTATTCCTGTGAACTAAACTTTGATATTAACAGATCAGGCCTATTAACTGTGTGCTAATTGTATGTATGTGTGTGTGTGTATATATACATATAATGAGACCCTGTGTGATATAGTGGTTAAGATACTGGACTAGGAACAGTGAAACCCGTTGTGTAACCTGGGGGTCTTCCTGGACTCACGACTTCTGTTCAAAGAGCAGGTGGCAGTTGTGGCTAGGAGGGCCTTTGTGCAACTTCATGTTGTGCGGCAGTTACGCCCCTTCCTTGATCAAGAGGCCCTCTGCACAGTAACTCATGCCCTGGTCACCTCCCGGTTGGATTACTGTAATGCGCTCTACATGGAGCTATCCTTGAAGAGTATCCAGAAGCTACAGCTGGTGCAGAATGCAGTGGCATGGATAGTTCTGAATGCCCCTAGGAGGGCACTTATAACACTGCTGTTGTGTGAGCTGCATTGGTTGCCAGTCTGCTTCCAGGTCCAATTCAAGGTGTTGGTCATCACCTTAAAGGCCCTTCATGGCGCAGGACCAGGTTATCTGAGGAGCCGTCTCACCCTGGTTACTTCAGCCCGCCCCACTCGGTCCAGCAGAAGGGGCATGTTGCAGACCCCACCAGTCAAGGAATTTGGACTGGGGGGGTCTAGGCAGAGGGCCTTTTCTGCTGTGGCCCCCGCCCTATGGAACAAT